ACTGTTTCCATTGTTTCCCCATTTATTTGCCATGAAGTGATGGGACCAGATGCCATGATCTTCATTTTTTGAATGTTGAATTTTAAGCCACTTTTTTCATTCTCCTCTTTTACTTTCATCAAGAGGCTCTTTAGTTCTTTGCTTTCTGCCATAAGGGTGGTGTCGTCTGTGTATATGAGATTATTGATATTTCTCTTAGCAATCTTGATTCTAGCTTATGCTTCATCCAGCCTGGCATTTCACATGATGTACTCTGCATATAAGTTAAATAAGCAGGGTGACAATATACAGTCTTAACGTACTCCTTTCCCAATTTGGAACCAGTCTGTTGTTCCATGTCCAGTTNTCCTTTATTGTTCTCATCTTTGCATGAAATATTCCCTTGGTATTTCTGACTTTCTTGAAGAGATCTCTAGTCTTTCCCATTTTATTGTTTTCCTCTATTTCTTTGCATTGATCACTGAGGAAGGCTTTCTTATCTCTCCTTGTTATTCTTTGGAATTCTGCATTCAAATGGGAATATCTTTCCTTTTCTCCTTTGCCTTTAGCTTCTCTTCTTTTCTCAGCTATTTGTAAGGCCTCTTCAGACAACCATTTTGCCTTTTTGCATTTCTTTTTTTTAGGGGTGTTGTTGATCACTGCCTCTTGTACAATGTCATGATCCTTCGTCCATAGCTCTTCAGGTACTCTGTCTGTCAGATCTAATCCCTTGAATCTATTTCTTACTTCCACTGTATATTTGTAAGGGATTTGATTTAGGTCATACCTGAATGGTGTAGTGGACTATGTCATTCTTTCAAAAGTTGTGTCCTGAACCTTTCCCTCCTGTTACAAGCAGATATTTAATTACCAATGATTTGCTTATAGAGAGACCAGTTTTGGTCACTATATTCATGATTCAGTTCAGTTCAGTTCAGTTGCCTAGTCGTGTCCAACTCTTTGTGACACCATGAACCACAGCACGCCAGGCCTCCCTGTCCATCACCAACTCCCGGAGTCCATCCAAACCCCTGATGATGCCATCCAACCATCTCATCCTCTGTCTTCCCCTTCTCCTCTTACCTTCAATATTTCCCTGCATCAGGATCTTTTCCAGTGAGTCAGCTCTTTGCATCAGGTGGCCAAAGTATTGGAGTTTCAGCTTCAACATCAGTCCTACCAATGAACACCCAGGACTGATCTATGATCTTAGTTTTCTGAATACTGAGCTTTAAGCCAACTTTTTCACTCTCCTCTTTCACTTTCATCAAGAGGCTCTTTAGTTCTTCTTCAGTTTTTGCCATAAGGGTGCTGTCGTCTGCATATTGGAGGTTATTGATATTTCCAGATTTCAGACATACTGTGTGATCTGTTGCTGTGTTTTAAAGATAGCCTCTTATCTGTTGGAGCAAGTAGGTGAATGGGTGAAAATTAAAAATGAGAGTTTTGGTTTTTTTTGTGTGTTGTTTTTTGGCCAAACCATGAGGCTTGTTAGTTGCCTAACAAGGTATTGAACCTGAGCCCATGGCATTGTGAGCACAGAGTCCTAACCAGTGGACCACAGGGAATTCTCAAAATATAGTGTTAGATGTTTCCATTGTGAAATGCTAGGTAACACATACACAGAATCTTTCTTTCAACTACATGTAAATCTGTAAATATCTCAAAATGAAAAGTTTAATTTAAAAAAGGCTAGCTCCTTTACACATATGCTCATCCAGTTAATAATACAAAAATGGTGAAGCACTAGTAATTTTTAGATCTCCAGAGTTCCTCATGAAAAAAAAGTTGTAAAACATTCAAGGTAAAGAACATGGCCCATAGTTCAAAACACTGATATTAGAACTTAAAAATTTTCAGAAATTCAATCATGTATGATATGGTTATCTTACATTATTATCACTTTAGATTTTTATTTTGGTCTACTTGAATATAGGTAGATTAGATCTTACTGGTTATTTACATCAAGCCTGTTTTGTCAATTGTGTATTTGTAAGTATAAAGGGTGATCACATTCCTCTAAAATAGATTTTTAACTACTCTTTTTTTTTAAGGTTTATTTATTTATTTTTGATTGTGGTAAGTCTTTGTTGCTTTGAGGCTTTTTCTAGTTGTGGTGAGGGTGGGCTACTCTTAGTTGTAGTACGTGGGCTTCTCATTGTGGTGGCTTCTCTTGCTGTGGAACACAGGTTCTAGGGTGTGCAGGCTTCAGTAGTTGCAGCTCTTGGGCTCAGTGGTTGTGGCTTGCAGGCTCTGGAGTGCAGGCTCAGTGGTTGTGGTGCACAGGCTTAGCTGTTCCACAGCATGTGAAATCTTCCAAGACCAGGGATCAAACCTGTGTCCCCTGCATTGGCAGGCAAATTCTTACACATTGTGCCACCAGGAAAGTCCTTTACTCTTAGAGGATCACTTTAAAGATTTTTATCTAGGACCTTGAATGATACAATGTTTAGTACTGGTTGAGTAGGTTTCCCATTTTGGTGGAGGAGGAGTAGAATGACAACCACATCTGGATTTAATAAAAATAACTTAAAATAGTTTACAGTTATAACACTGATAAGTTAATGCATGCAGTTTTGCCTTAGGAAAAGATGTTTCTTTCAATTTACAAAAGGGTTGATAAGTACTATCTTTTTTTTTTCATTTGTATTTTTTGCACTTTTATTTATTTTTATTTTTATTGGAATATAGTTGCTTTATAATGTTGTGTTTCTACTGTACAGCAAAGTGAATCAGCTATACATATACATACAGCCCCTCATTTTTGGATTTTCTTCCCATTTAGGTCAACACAGAGCATTGAGTTTAGTTCCTGTGCTATACAGTAGGTTCTCATTAGTTACCTATTTTATATATAGTATTGATAGTTTATATACGTCAGTTCCAATCTCTCAATTCATCCCACCATCCTCTTCCCCCTTGGTATCCGTTTTGTTCTTTAAGTCTGTGTCTCTGTTTCTCCTTTTAAATAAGATTGTCTATACTATTTTTTTTTCAGATTACACGTATATGTGTTAATATGGTGTTTATCTTTTTGACTTCACTCTGTAATGCTCTCTTAAATAGATTTCTGAACAATTTAAAAGATATTCAAGAAAATAAATCTTAAGGAATACTTTGGAATTTGTCAAAAACTTATTTTAGTGCACCTGGAAGTCTTTCATTATTCACCATACTTTACTCTATATGACATTTGTCTAATTCCAAAATTTACATCTGCCCTTGAAGAGAAAAATTTTCGAATGAATGGGCAAAATTTTTAAGTATCAATGTTTTTTCACCATTGGACTTCTGGCTGGTCTTGTAATTCAGGCTCTTCTGTCAATGGGATTCTCCAGGCAATAATACTGGAGTGGGTTGCCATTTCTTTCTACATGGAATCTTCCCAAACCAGCAATTGAACCCGTGTCTCTTATGGCTCCTGCATTGACAGGCAGGTTCTTTACCCACTGAGCCATCAGGGAAACCCTAGTTTATAATATGACACAGATATGTTTATAGCTAAGAATGTTATCTTTCAGAAAACAAAAAAGTTCTCCTGATTGTGTCCTCTTGTTTTAATTTTTACATATAATTGTACTATTAATGAGCTGCATTGATTTATCCATAGTCTTGACATTGTTCAGCTACAGCATGAATTTATGTGATAGCCGGTTTTGTGGTTGGATTGCTGTGAGTTCTAAGAATGAATAGGATAATCATCATTATGCTATATCATTTCTACATCATTTGCTATACTTCTTTCATTTCTAAAGTACAACTTTTTCAATGTTTGCTAATCTGTTGATGGAACAAGATGTAGAATGACATTGTGCCTTCTTGTCTTTTCTTCTGGTTCCATTCTCTAATTGAAGATTTAAGGACACTGAGTGACTTGATGATAGTATTTTTGGACATCTGACTCATTTCCAAAGAAAGGTTATGACAAAAATAGAAACCATACCCTTTTGGTATCTATATTCTAGAGTCAAGTTTGTTTAAAGATTTTTTTAAAACAACCCTCTCCACCAACAACCGAATCTCACACAAGATCTCTAATTGCAGTATGCCTGTTACATTTAATTTCTTTTTCATTCCTTAAATATCTTGGATCTTCCCAAGCAAACATAGAAGAACGGTACAGAGGGGCCACTGGCTTTGGAGCCCAGCACCGTGCTTAAATCTGGGAGGTGTCTGGCCTATGAAGGCCTCACAGATATTACCTGATTTCTAGTGTTTTTTCTTTTTTTTAAGGTCTTTTATTTATTTATTTTTGGCTCTGCTGGGTCTTTGTTGCTGAGCCTTCTCTAGTTGTGGAGAGTAGGGGCTACTGTTTGTTGTGGTGGGCAGGCTTCTGGTTTCAGTGATTTCTTCTGTTGCAGAGCACAGGCTCTAGGCACAGGGCTTCAGTGGTTGTGGCATGTGGGCTCCGTAGTTGAGGCTCGAGGAGTCCAGAGAGCAGGCTTAGTAGTTGTGGTGCATGGGCTTAGTTACCCTGTGGCACATGGGATCTTCTTGGACTAGGGATCAAACCTGTGTCCCCTGTATTGCAAGGCAGATTCTTAACTAGTGGACCACCAGAGAAACTACACCTTAGTGTTTTAATGTACATTCTTTTGATGATTAGTGAGATTGGAGTGCTTTTTCTCCCAATTTTTTTGTTACATAGTTATATTCCATTTAAAAAAAAATTTTGTCTTTTATTCATTTATATACTCATCGTGTCACTCAGTTGTGTCTGACTCGTGCGACCCCATGAGATTGGAGTACTTTTTCTCTCAGTTCTTTTTTTACATAGTTATATTCCATTTTTCTTAAAATTGTCTTTTATTCATTTATATGCTAGGAATTTATTATTATTATTATTATTATTATTGGTCACACTGTATGGCTTATGAAATCTTAGTTCCCTGACCAAGAATGATGAATCCATGCCCTCTGCAGTGGAAGCCTGGAGTCCTAACCGTTGGACCATCAGGGATTCCCAGTGTTATTTAATATAATAAGAATCTTTCTATTTTCAGATGATTTTGCCAACTAAATTTTTTTTTTTTTTTTTTTTAGAGAAATCTCTGCTTTTATTGGCCAGCAGGTTACTTGAGGGGGATGAAGCGGGAGGAATGGGTAGCCCCGATACCGGGCCGGCCGTGTTTCACGGGCTTGTAGGTGATGGAGAACTCGCCCAGGTAGTGGCCGATCATCTCAGGCTGCAGAGGAAGGGTGCGGGATAGTCAGCAGAGGGACGGTGGCGGGGCCCCACCCCCGGGCCCAGCGCAGCCCACACGCACCTTGATTTCCACCTGGTTGAAGGTCTTGCCGTTGTAGACGCCCACCATGCTGCCCACCATTTCGGGCAGAATGATCATGTCGCGCAGGTGCGTCTTCACGACCTCGGGCTTCTCCATGGGCGGCGCATCTTTCTTGGCCTTGCGCAGCCGCTTCAGCAGCGAGTGCTGCTTCCTCCGCAGGCCGCGGTTCAGCCGCCGTCGCTGGCGCGCACTGTATAGCTGCATCAGTTGCTCATAGGACATGTCCAGCAGCTGATCGAGGTCTACGCCGCGGTAGGTGAACTTGCGGAAGGTCCGCTTCTTCTTCTGTTCCACTTCCGCCATCTTGCCGGTTCTTCAGAAAGCTGCCAACTAAATTTTATCTATGGATTTTTGGGGGGAGATGCGTGCACAAGTTTTATGTCTTATGTTTTATTATATACATTCCTAAATCCCATCCTCTACTTTTTATTTTCCATTGAGGTAAAATTCACATAAAACACAATTTACCATTTAAAATCATTTTAGTATATAATTCAGTTAAAAAAATTTCTTTTTACTAAATTCACAATATTGTACAACTGTTACACTTTCTAAAACTAGAATATTTTCATTGTCCCCAGAGATAACCCATACCTCCCAATTTCCCTCTTCCTCCATCCCCTGGGCACCCACTAATCTACTTTCTTCCTCTGTAGATTTGCCTACTTGGACATTTTACATGTATAAATAGAATCATCGGAATTTGTGTCTACCTTTTTTATCATAAAGTTTCCAAGGTTCATCCATGTTTAGTATGTATGAATATTTCATTCCTTTTTATTGGGGTATAATATCCCATTGTTTATTTATCAGTTGATGGATATTTGGATACTTTTCACTTTTGGCTTTTATAAATATTCCTACTATGAACTTTGTATAGTTTTTTGAGCATGGGCATATGTTTTCATTCTCTTGGGTATATATCTAAGAGTGGAATTGCTGACCACTAAAATGTTTTTCATACTGCCTGTCCCATTTTACATTCCCACCATCAGTGTATATGGGTTCCAATTTCTTTACATCCTTGCCAACCCTTTAGTTTTAAAATATAATTATCATATTCATCCTAATGAGTATAAAATAGTATCTCATTGTGGTTTTGATTTATATTTTGTTCTAATGACTAATAATCTTGAGCATTTTTTCATGTGCTTCCTGGCCATTTGTGTGTATTCTTCGCAGAATTGTATATCTAAGTTCTTTTTTTTTAATTGAAGTATAGTTGATATACCAGACCACCTGACCTGCCTCTTGAGAAACCTATATGCAGGTCAGGAAGCAACAGTGAGAACTGGACATGGAACAACAGACTGGTTCCAAATAGGAAAAGGAATACATCAAGGCCGTATATTGTCACCCTGCTTGTTTAACTTATATGAAGAGTACATCATGAGAAACACTGGCCTGGAAGAAGCACAAGCTGGAATCAAGATTGTTGGGAGAAATATCAATAACGTCAGATATGCAGATGACACCATCCTTATGGCAGAAAGTGAAAAGAACTAAAAAGCCTCTTGATGAAAGTGAAAGAGGAGAGTGAAAAAGTTGGCTTAAAGCTCAACATTCAGAAAACTAAGATCATGGCATCTGGTGCCATCACTTCATGGCAAATAAATGGGCAAACAGTGAGGCACTTTATTTTCTTGGGATCCAAAATCACTGCAGATGGTGATTGCAGCCATGAAATTAAAAGATGCTTACTCCTTGGAAGGAAAGTTATAACCAACCTAGATAGCATATTAAAAAGCAGAGATATTACATTGCCAACAGAGGTCTGTCTAGTCAAGGCTATGGTTTTTCCAGTGGTCATGTATGGATGTGATAGTTGGACGTTGAAGAAAGCTGAACACTGAAGAAATGATGCTTTTGAATTGTGGTGTTTGGGAAGACTCTTGAGAGTCCTTTGGACTGCAGGGAGATTCAACCAGTCCGTCCTAAAGGAGATCAGTCCTGGGTGTTCATTGGAAGAACTGATGCTGAGGCTGAAACTCCAGTACTTTGGCCACCTGGTGCAAAGAGTTGACTCATTGGAAAAGACCTGATGCTGGGAGGGATTGGGGGAGGAGGAGAAGGGGATGACAGAGGATGAGATGGCTGGATGGCATCACCGACTTGATGGACATGAGTTTGTGATGGACAGGGAGGCCTGGCGTGCTGCGATTCCTGTGGTCGCCTCAGACACGACTGAGCAACTGAACTGAACTGAACTGATGTACAATGTTGTATTAATTTCTGCTCTACAACAAAGTGGTTCAGTTATATATACATTCTTTAAAAAATATTCTTTTCCATTGTGATTTATCATAGAATATTGAATATAGTTCTCTTTGCTATACAGTAGGACCTTGTTGTTTATCCATTTTGTATATAAAAGCTTAAATCTGCTACCTCCAATTTCCCACTCTAGCCCTCCCCCTACTCCCCCACCCCATTTAGCAAACAACAGTCTGCTCTCTAGAGCTGATTCTGTTTCTGTTTAATAGGTTCATTTGTGTCATATTTTAGATTAAACATATGAATGATATGTGGTATTTGTCTTTCTGAGTTACTTCCCTAGAATGATAATCTCTAGTTGCATCCATGTTGCTGCAAATGGCATTTTTTCGTTCTTTTTATGGCTGAATGATATTTCAGTGTGTGTGTGTGTGTACCACATCTTCTTTTTAAAATTTTTATTTATTTTTAATTGAAGGATAATTGCTTTACAATATTGTGTTGGTTTCCACCATACATCAACATGAATCAGCCATAGGTATACATATGCCCCTCTCTCTTGAGCTTCCCTCCGACCTCCCACCCCATCCCACCCCTCTACGTTGTTTCGGAGTACCAGTTTGAGCTCCCTGAATCATACCTCAAATTTCCACTGGCTATCTAGTTTACATATGGTGATGTGTATAGATATACCACATCTTTATTCATCTGTCAGTAACCATTTAGGTTGTTTCCATGTTTTGGCTATTGTGAATAGGGTTGTTATGAACATTGTGGTGCATGTATCTTTTTGAATTATAGTTTTGTCAGGATAAATGCCCAGGTGTGGGATTGTTAGATCAAGTGGTAACTCTGTTAGAGTTTTCCATAGTGGCTGCACCAACTTACATTCCTACCAACAGTGTCGATGGGTACATTTTTCTCTACACCCTCTGTAGCATTTGTTATTTGTAGACTTTTTAATGATGATCTTTCTGACTGGTATGGTATTTTATTGTAGTTTTGGTTTGATTTCTCTAGTAATTAGAAATGTTGAACATCTTTTCTTGTGCCTGTTGCCCATCTGTATGCCGCCTTTGGAATACTGTCTGTTTAGGTCTCCTGCTCATTTTTTGATTGGGTTTTTTGTTTGTTGTTGAGTTGTTGTATAAAACCCATTTTACAGTTGGGTTTGTCTTTTTATTGTTCAATTTTAAGAAGTCTTTATATTATTAAAAGGATATATATTATATAAAATGACATTAATGCCTTTTCAGATAAATGATTTGAAAATAATTGTCCCCAGTTAAATGGGTTGTCTCTTCACTTTCTTGATGGTATCTTTTGATACACAGAGGATTTGAAGTTTTTGCATTTTATTTTATTTTAATTTTTTTGTGAAGTTTTTGCATTTTAAACTTTTATTCTTTTGTAACCCTGTTGGATTACAGATGTACCTATTATATAACTTAGTAGGATATACTGTAATAATACACTTGCATAAATATTTCCATGGCAATCTGTGAACTCTAAATCCCATTCTATGTTTTATTCATCTTTGTGTTTGTCATTTATAAAATTATTCTGTTCTAAGCAGAAAATAGTGTAATAAACAAAAAAGTACTGAAGGTTTCCAGAGAGTAAGTGCTCAGGAAATATATTTGAAAAATGAATGAATTATTCATTTACAATGAATTATTGTAAATGGTGTAAAGCAGAATCTCATATTATTAATATTTTCCTTGAATTATACTTTTTTTATTTTAAATATCTGTTTTATTCACATATAGAGTTTTTAATTTCTGTCATACAGCTCAGTGATTCAGTTATATATATATATAATATATATATACACACACATTCTTTTTCACATTATTTTCCATAATGGTTTATCACAGTCCTTGAATTATACTTTGTAGATAAGTGTACATGTAGAGTTTGTTACTCATGTTTTCATATCCTCAGTGAAATAAAATATATTTTAAGTTTTATTTTGAGTACACATTCTTTCAGACCACTTACAGTGTAGATAGCTTTTCAGTTTACTAAACTATATATTTAATTCAATATATGACCTGGTAAATAAGGATATTCTTAAAACTTTTATTTTGACAGCGAAAGCAAGTTGAATACATTGGTGCAGAAGCTTCATGACTTTCTGGCACACTCATCAGAGGAATCTGAAGAAACAAGTTCTCCTCCAAGACTTGTGATGAACCAAAGCACAGGTAAATTGGAAAAAAGAATTGCAATATCTTCTAGTCTTATTTACCTTTTATTTTTAAGGAACTGAAGCTTTTAAAGTTTTTAATAGCCCCTGTGTTTCTAGGAGTTAGATAATATCTGATATTATAGACTTTGATTCAGATAAGTAAAAAATGTGAGGTTTTGTGGTTTTAGGTGCTTAGAGAAGCATACACTGAAGATTTTATTTTTAATGGAAGTGTTTTATAGAAGTGGGTGATGAATGTTAACCTTAAAATAGATAGTAGTGGGAGCAGTACAGAAATATGTTATTCTAAAAGTTATTCATGTATTATAAGTTATATTTTTATGTTGTTTGTTAACTTTTCAGCATACATTTGGTCCATACATTTTTAAAATACAAAACAACGTCTTCTTCCTACGTCCCTTTTTCCTTTTTGAAAGTATCTTGTATCATGTGATGATTACCATCATTTGTTTTCAAGTTTTTAAGGGTAGGTGCATATAGAAGAGGTGAACATGCGCACAGGCATGCACACACACAAACATACATAGGCGTACTTGCACACGAACACACATACATACAAACACATACATACAAACACAAACATACAAGAAGTATGGAGAGTGGTTGATCACAATGAAAAGTTCAACTGTATGTGTAATTAGAGTCCCAGAAGGAAAGAAGAGAGAGAATGGTTCAGAATCTGAGTTTGATGAGATACTCACTGAGCATTTCCTAAAAGTGAAGAAAGACATCATGTATATTCATGAAACACTGTGAACCTCAAGCAGGATAAATGGAAAGAAAACTACAACTAAGAAAATCATAATAAACTCCTAAAGAACAAAAACCAAGAGAAAAATCTTAGGAGCAGCCGGAGGAAAACAGTCATTGCTTTTTTAATGTTGAATGTTTTTGAACA